ATATATATAATAAAAATTTTAAATATGAAAGAAAAATGATATCTATCATCAAAATTTATAATCATGTGATAATTCAATAAAATAATAGAATACAGTTTTAAAAATAATTTGTGAATATACCTTTAATGAAATTTGAAAAAATTCAGAACACATTTTCTAAATATTTATTATTTTATGTTTGAAATAAATAATTAATTTATGATGAATTATAAGTAATCAAAAAATATTATGTAAGTATAAAAAAAAATACTTATTAATAGATTTGAATTTTATTTTAATGCATACTAATATGATTTAATTTATTTAAATACTAAATCATTTAACATAAACAGTATAATTGATTGATTGGACTATGAGCACATTGTGATTGACTCTCATAAATACTAATATGGAGAGAATCACAATAGACTCTTAAATATTTGTTCATTATACATATTTTTAGTTAGTGATTAATAGTATAGATTAAATATTAAAAAATTTAATATATGATAATTGTAAATTCAAGGATTATGAAGTGATGAATATACATTCATTAAGTAATAATAATGTAATTTGTTAATTAATAATTATATATTAAATGTTATAGGACTATAATGGAAATCCTTTAATCAAATTAAAATGAAAAATTATTATTTAATGTGAGAAAATTATAATCCACTCCTAAAATAATATTAAAATTGTCTGATCATATTCTTGAGAGATTAAATCTAGAAAAATAGTAAGCATTTCATTTGATTGCTTACAAATAATTATTCTATTTAAAAATATAATAAATAAATAAATTTTATAATTTAATTTTATATAATTGAAAATTAATGTGAATTTAAATTACCTATAACTACAATCCAAAAAAAAAATAGTTTTTTGGACGATTTGCATGCATGCATACCACTCAAATCTTGTGTGTTTGCATATCTAACATATACTTTAATTTTTACATATATATATATATATACCACCTTATCATGCTGGAAAAGGTGCCGTTCATTTTTAAAAAGCTAAAATAGTCATATTTTTTTATTTGAAATGAAAGATTTAAGAGGTATAAAAGTAAAACAAAAGTTTAGGTCTCTCTCTCTCTCTCTCTCTCTCTCTATATATATATATATATATAT